CTAAAAAATCAGTTGTTCAAAGGGACTTTGAAGAGCTACTGCATATTCCTTGTAATCTAGAAGACCAGGCACATGTGTAGGGCCATGCACACACTCAGGAATGACCTGAGAAAGCCATAAACTTTCATTTGTGACTGACTTTGCGATTCTGTGCAAGCAGGAAGAGTAGTTTAACACAGAGTTGCAAATGCCTGAGAGTCCAAGGTGTACACAACATGCTTACATAGCCCATTGGCAAGGACTGGGAGATTTTTAGTTCTAGGCATTCAAAGAAATATCAATCTAATTATTAACTGCCCTCTAAGCTAACTGATCAGAGACTTCACTGGCCACATATGACAAAGAATACAGAGCTTACTGAATTAGTTAAAAAAAATCACTGAATAAGCAAAGAGCAACAAAACCCAGCACAAACAGCAAACACTAGGGAAAGGAAAAAACAATTCCCAGGGTTGTCAAATTATATTATTTAAAATACCTGGTATTTGATGAAAAATTTTGAGACATAACAAAAGAAAAAATATTATGGCCATAACACAGAAAGAAAAGTAATACAAATATCCATGAAACACAAACATTGGAATTACTACATATAGACTTTTGTTGAACTTTTAAAAATATTATTTTAATGTAGAATAACATTTTTAATAGCAGTCTTATAAGAGGCATGCAAGTTTCATATCTTGTTTTTTGTTTTGAGTTACCTTTTTGTCATTTAATTACAGTTTGCATTCAATATTATTCTGTGTTAGTTTCAGATGTACAGCAAAGTAGTTAGAAAATCAAGTACTTTACAGAGTGGTCCCCTTGATGTTTCAAGTACCCACCTGACTCCTTACATGATTATCATGATACTATTGACTATGTTCCCTGTGCTATAATCTACATCTCTGTGACTATTCTGTAACTACCAATTTGTATTGCTTAATCCCTTCACCCAGATACCCGAACCCCCTCCCCTCTGACAACTGTCAGTCTCTTCTTTGTATCTATGAGTCTGTTTATATTTTGTGTATTTATTTTGTTCTTTAAATTCCATATATAAGTGAAATTATATGGTATTTTCTTTCTCTGACTAGACATAGACTTTTATTCAGCTATTTAAAATATGTTCAAAGTCCTAAAGAAAACTATGTCTAAAAAAGTAAAGTATATTATGAGAACAATGTCTCATTAAACAGACAATATGGAAGAGATAGAAAGTATAAAAATAAACTAAATGGAAATACTGGAGTTTAAAATACATTAACTGAAATGAAAATTTCACTAGATGTGCTCAGAACAGAAGAGTCAATGAACATGATAATAAATCAGTTGAAATTATCAAGTCTGAGGAACAGCAAGAAAAAATATCGTAACCTTAAGGACCTATGGGATATCATGAAGTATACCAAAATAAATATACTGTGAGCCCCAGATAAAAAAGAATGATAAAAAAGGCAGAAAGAATATTTGAAGAAATATGACTGAAAACTTCCAAATTTGATGAAAATATTACACATAAATGAGGCTTAATAAGATAAAAATAGGACAAACTAAGAGATGGAGAGAGAGAGAGAGAGAGAGAGAGAGAGAGAGAGAGAGAGATCAATTGGCTGCCTCCTGCATGCCCCCCCCACTGGGGATTGAGCCAGCAACAGGGCATATACCCTGACCTGGAATCGAACCGTGACCCCCTGGCCCATAGGTCGAAGCTCAACCACTGAACCACACCAGTTGAGCATCAACCTATGAAATTTTCAGAACAGGCAAATCCGTAGACACAGAAAGCAGAGTAGTGGTTGCCAGGAGCTGGGGAAAAGTGGAATGAGCAGTGACTGCTTAATGGCTATACGGTGTGTGTGTGTGTGTGTGTGTGTGTGTGTGTGTGTGATGAAAATGTTCTGTAATTAGATATTGGTGATGGTTGCACAATATTGTGAATGTTCTAAAAAGCCATTGAACTGTACACTTAAAATGGTTACTTACTGTTTCTATGAATTTGCTTATTCTAGATATTGCATATAAGTGAAATCATACCATATCGGTCCTTTTGTGTCTGAATTATTTCACTAAGCATGATGTCTTCAAGGTTTGTTCATGTTGTAGCATGTATCTAATCTCCATTCTGGATGAAAGGATTTCATTCTTTTTTATGGTTGAATAATATTCTACTGTATGTATAAACCACAATTTATTCATCCATTGATGTACATTTGAGTTATTTCTACCTTTTGGATATTGCAAATAGTATTGCTATGAACATTTGCATGCAAGTATTTGAGTTTCTGTTTTCAGTTCTTCGGGGCATATACCTCGGAGTAGAATTGCAGAGTTACATGATAATTCTATGTTGAAATGTTTGAGAAACTGCTAAACTATTTTCTACAACAGCTACACCATTTTACATTCCCATCAGCAATGTATGAGGGTTCCAATTTCTCCACATCACTGTCCAAATATACCACAAATAATTAATAGTGTCTATATTGAAAATATGCCTTCATGTAGGTAGTTGGCTCTCTTCAGCCCAGGTTATTTGTACACACTTCAACTATGAAATGTAAGGTGAAGAAACTGTGATGTATTTCAAGTATCAGTGACAACTGAGCAGAAAATCTTTGCAAGAATTAGAGATGATTTAGGAAAGAGAGATTGATGTCCTTTGACACCATTTCATTGACTGAATTCAAATTTATTCTGGTGACAGCATGTGCAGTGGTGATAGAAAGGTTAACATTTCATAGCTCTCTTAACTTTGCCCATAGCCATTGAAGTGAAGAGGTCAGCACAGTGGAACGAAATGACGCTATACCTCTATTATTCTGAGTGGTTCCTTTTAGTTGATTATTTTAGAACTTTCTGGGTGATACAATTCGGCCATTGCTCCCTGTTTTTAAAGTACTCAGGCAATTTAGGCATTTAAATGTTCTTCCATTTGTAAGAGGTTTAATCACTCAGTGCTGAATTTTCAATCTTATTGAATCAATTGAAGCCTTGCAAAGTGTTCCTTTTAGTTAAGATTGGAAAAAGAATGGCAGCAGCTGAGCCAACCCTGTTATTTGTTATCAGAGTGGAGATCAGAGTTAGTGAGTTAAATTCAGCTATGACTAAGACTTTTACTCATGTTTCTGTGTCTCAAAATGTGGCCTGGGGACCACCTACAACAGAAACACCTAGGGTGTTGTTTTAATGTAATTCACTCTGAACTAGGGTGACCACTCATCTGGGTTTTCCCCAGACTGAGGGCTTTCCCCAGACATCGGACTTTCAGTATTAAAACTGGGAAAGTCTTGAACAGACAAGGCTGGGGGTCACCCCTTCTCGAGACCTACTGAATCAGAATCACTGCTGTCTTATAAATAAAGTAGAGGCCCAGTGCACAAAATTCATGCACGGATAGGGTTCCTAGGCCTGAATCAGGGCTGATCTGTGGGGCAACTGGTGGGGCCATCAGGGCTCCAACTTGCACCCTCCTTGGCCTGGCATTGCCTGCTCACCTGATCCACTATCCCACTGCGGTCCCACTCTTGTCAGTGCCTATCAGGGCTGGCAGTACCTCCACTGCTGCCTGCTGCCAGCGCTGCGTAGCCAATGCCCGCCATGTTGTGGTCAGTGCACATCTAACTCCCAGTTGATTGAACTCCTGCCCATGGGGATAATTTGCATATTGGCCTTTTATTATATAAGATACGTGCTAAAGTTTGAGATCCAATTAAGGACTACCCCCCAGCCTGAAGCAGGCTTACTCTGGAACTAGCTTTCCTAATTGATATAACTGTTACTTCCTTCCATTATTACATGTAGGTAATCCTCTTTCTTCATTTGGAGGGCAGTGCTTTCAGGGAAATATAATTGATAAGCAAATATCAGGATCATCACTGTTGCTAGGTGAAACAGAGAAAAAGTTGTAGAAGTTCATTTCTTTATTCATTCCATGAACATTTATCAAACACATTTCTAATATATCTCTCTCTATATATATATATATATATATATATATATATATATATATATATATATATATATAGCTATAAGTTGCTCAAAGGAAAAAGAGAATCTAAGATTAAGTGTGAATATAGGTATGCATGTAGGAACATATGTCTGGAATGTTTCAGCATATAGATGAGAAATACCCATTTTCTAAGAACTACAACTATTTAAGAATATTCATTAATTCAGAAAATATATGCGGAGGGCCTTTTATGTGCCAGCACAGTGCTAGAGACTTGGATACAACAGTGAACAGTATAGACAGGTCCTTGCTCTCATAGAGTTTATATTCCAGTGCAGAGAAACAAACACACAAACAAATAATGACAGATGCTTTGATAAGTGCTATGAACAAAATAAAAACAGGGTGATGTGATTGAAATGGAGGGTCTACTTTTGACTGGTTAGTAAGGGAATGACTCTCTGAGGAGATGACATTTGAGCCAAGATCCAAATCATAAAAAGCCAGCCATTTGCAGACCTGAGGGAGAAATGTTCCAAGCAGAGGGAATAGTGAGCGTGGGAACCTGATGACAGGAAGGAGCTTGACATGTTGGAGAAATACAGAGAAAGATGCTGTGACAGGAGTGTCAGGAACAATGGGGAGAGTCATATGAGAGTAGGTTGTAGAAGCAGGCAGGGTTTAGATCATGGAGGCCTTATGGTCCTGGGTCAGGGCCTTAGATTTCATTCTTGTTCTGAATAATTGTTCAGAGAAGATATTGGAAGGTCTAAAGCAGAAAAGTGAGGTGATTAAGTTCACATTTTTAAAGATCTCTCTGACACTTTTGGAAAATAGACCAAATGGAGTGAGAGTGGAAGCAGAAAAACGAGTAGGGGACTACTGCAAGTACACAACATAAGAGATGGTGGTGGCTGAAAGTAAGGTAGTGGGGAGCAGAGAAAAGGACAATTCTGTATGAATTTTTGGAGTTAGAGACATAGGTTTTGGTGATGGTCTGGATGGTTTGGTGTAAAAGGAAAGAGAAGACTCAAAGGAATTTCCAGGTTTCTTCTCTTTTTCCCCCCACTGTGCAATCCACTTCAATGCCTGCAGTCAATGGACAGAGAGGCCAGGCAATAGTTCAAGTCCACAGTTTGCTCTGGCATGGATCACTATGAGAGACCAAGGGGCATGGACCTGCCATAAACCCAAACCCGTACATTATATCCAGGATTTTTGACTTGGGTAAATGCTGGGATCCTTTACTAAACTGTGGAAGACTCAAGAATAAGGGAATTGCCCTAATTGGTTTGGCTCAGTGGATAGAGCGTCAGCCTGCAGACTGAAAGGTCCCAGGTTCAATTACGGTCAAGGGCATGTACCTTGGTTGCAGGCACATCCCCAGTAGGAGGCGTGCAAGAGGCAGCTGATCGATGTTTCTCTCTCGTCGATGTTTCTAACTCTCTATCCCTTTCCCTTCCTTTCTGTGAAAAATCAATAAAATATATATTTTTAAAAAGAATAAGGGAATTGCATATTAGCATAACCAATGGACACAGACACTGGGGCAGTGGGGGCTTGCCTGGGGTGGGAATGGCTGGTGGGGGGGGTCAATTGGGTAAAAAGGAGACATATGTAAAACTTTAGACAAAAAAAAAGTTTACACCAATGTTAATATACTGTTCAGTACATACTGAGCCATGCTTTTTTATTTTACATACACTCAAATATTTATTTTCTAATATGGAGAATACAAGACTTGCTATACTTAGAAACTGCAAAAGTAATTGCAAATAAGATAGCAGATTTGACTACATTAAAATTATATATGACAGGGGAAATGATGCAGACTTTTAAAAATCAATAAACACTTGTGGCAAATAAAAAAAAAGAATAAGGGATTGATCAGGTATCAAAAGTTCAGTTTTGAATATGTGAAGGTCAAGACCCCTAATAAAATAAAATTCCAAATTGAGGTGTCAAATAGTCATATGCACCTGTCTCAAGTTCTGGGTGATGTCAATATAAATTAATTTGGGAGACAACAGCACATAGATAATATTTAAAGCCTTGGGATTGTATGACATTATCTAAAGAGAGAATAGAATAAAAAAGAGGAAGAGGTTCCTGGATTGAGCCCTGGGGCCTCCAACATTTAGAGGTCAAGCAAAGGACAAGGAATCAGGAAAAGAGGCTCAGGGGCCAGTGAGGAATAAGTTAAAGCAGGAAAATGTAGTGTTGCTAAAGGCAAGAGGGAAAAAATGTGGGAGTTTCAAGAAGAGAACTATTATTCCCATTTTACAGATAAGAAAACTGAGGTGTGGGAGTATAAATAACTTCCCCAAAGTCACACAACTAGTAATAGAGCTAAAGCCAAGCAATGTGACTTCAGAGTCTGTGCTTCCAAGCACTACACCAGTGGCTCTCAGACTTTAGTGTTTATCTGAGTCACATGGAGAGGTTAATAGAAAGATTGCTAGGCCTCACTCCCAGAGATCCTGATTCAGAAGTTCTGCAATGTGATCCAAGATTTTGCACCTCTAATAAATTCCCAGGAGATGCTAATGCTGCTGGTCCAGAGAGCACACTTTGAGAACCACTGCCCTAGTGTATGTTACCTTTCATGTGGCAAGACTGACTTGCGATAATGTTGTTAGTATTGTTTGCTTTCTCCAACTGGCTTTGAAAGATTCTCCCTTAGGATTGGGGAAAAATTATAACACCACCTTGTTCAGAATTATCTGCGTAAAGCAACCATATTTCTGATTAATGCAGGAGAGATCAATTGAGCTCTAGGGCCTAAGGGATATGGTTGGACTGGGGAAAAGGATAAGCCTACCAGTTCATTGGTGTTTACCCCATACTTATGGTGGCCTAGATGGGACATTGCTAAACCCACTCAAGGTCTGAGTAGGCAAGAAAAGACTGAAGGACTGTCTAGGATTATGACTCAAACAAAGGAGAGAATGAACCTTCTGCTATCCCTGATCAGTAGCCACATTCTTCCACTATGATGCCCAGTTATCTGTTTTAGCTTTATAAAGGCACGAGATAGTGAAAGCATGTAAAATATTGGGAGGCAAAATACTAGAAAAATGGATCCTGGCCTTGGATACCCCCCAAAAAGCCTGCTGGTGAAACGCTAGAATGCTGTGAGGTCTACGGGTAGAAAGAGCAAGAATAATGGAAGAATGACAAATGATAATCTACTGTATGCTAGGTATTTGACATACATTATCTCATTTCATCCTTACAAGAGCCTAATGAGGTAGATATTATCCTCATTTTACAGAGGAGGATATAGACTCAGTAGCCTCAGGTTACAGCTAGTAAGTAGCAAACCCTCGGTTCAAACTTAGGTCTGCCTAATTCCAAAGCTCTTGTTCTTAACCAGCACACTCTAAAATGACTAAAATACAGGACTTTTCTGGACTATCTTCCTACAGATAAGATGAAGGAAAATGAAATGGCTTAAAGGACTGGCCTCAAGACTAAATGAGGCTGCCAGATCAGATCAAGATAGACTGGCAGTGCAATGTCCTGGGCCAGTGTCTTTGACATTGTTGTTGCTTTTAAAAGTCATCAGATTTGTCTGGCTGGTGTGGCTCAGTGGTTGAGCATCAACCTATGAGCCAAGAGGTCCCGGGTTAGATTCCCAGTCAGGCACATGCCCGGATTGTGGGCTTGATCCCCAGTAAGGGGCGTGCAGGAGGCAGCTGATCAATGATTTTCTCTTTCATGGATGTTTCTATCTCCCTATCCTTCTCCCTTTTTCTCTCTCCAAAATCAATAAAAAGCATATTTAAAAAAATAAAAGTCCCACAGGGGCCAGCCCAGGGCTGAAGGATGGTACCATGCAGGATGCTTACAATAAAGATCTGTAAAGTGCAAAATAAAAAAAATAAAAAAAATAAAAGTCAAAAGATTTATAAAAACACAAATGGTTCACCAGTAAGAATACTATATGTGAGAAGACATGTACGAGATGAGACAGGAGAAGATGACCAAGAAACACTGTGTGTGATGCTCACAACACACAGTAGCAACTTGGGGGCAAGTGAAAAAGTATAGGCATTTAAATGGAGACATTAATGGAGAAAAAGTTCAGTGCTAAAGGTTGTGACATCTGGCGGAAGCAAATAGATTAAAAGCTTTACTCACATTAGAGCACTCTGGGGTTGAGGATCATTTTAGGTCTCAATTTTTTTAAAGCTTTTCTCTGACTTCTTTTTAAAAATATACTTTTCTTGACTTCAGAGAGTAAGGGAGAGGGAGAGGGAGAGGGAGAGGAAGATAGAAACATCAATGATGAGAGAAAACCATTGATCGGCTGCTTCCTGTACGCCCCCACCCCCACTGAGGATCGAGCCCACAACCTGGACATGTGCCCTGACCAGGAATTGAATCATGACCTCCTCGTTCATAGGTTGATGCTCAACCACTGAGCCACACAGGTCAGGCTCTCTGACTTCTTTTTCATTGAAATTTTTATTCACAATTGTAGATTCAACATGCAGTTGTAAGAAATAATACAGAAAGAGTCCTTGTATACTTTTCTCAGTTTCTCTGAATATGCACTCCAAATAAATTTTAGTATATCACAACTAGGATGTTGACATTGATATAACCTGCAATCTTACTTAGATTTTCCTAATTTTGCTGGTACTCATTGTGTGTGTGTGTGTGTGTGTGTGTGCATTACAATTTTATCACTTGAGTAGGTTCATGTGTCCACTACCATAATCAAGATACTGGTCAGTTCCAACACCACAGAGATCCCTCATGTTGCAGGTTATAACCAAGTTCACCTCCACTTCCCACCATATCCTCATCCCTGACCTCTGGCAACCATTAACCTCTCCTCCACTCTTATAAGTTTGTTGTTTCAATAATATTATATGAATGAAATCATGCAGTGTGCAAATTTTTGTGATTGGCTTTTTTTCACTCAGCATAATTTCCCTAGATACTCATTCAAGTTACTGCATGTACCAATAGTTTGTTTCTTTTTATTGTTGAGTAATATTCCATGCTATGTGCATAGCACAGTTTATTTAACCATTCATCTGTTGAAGGACATCTGAGTTTCCAATTCTTGGCCATTGTAAAAACAAAAAGCTGATGGACATTCGTGCACAGGTTTGTCTGTGAACATAAATTTTCATTTATATGGGACAAGTGCCCATAAGTACAATTGCTGAGCAATTTAGTAGTGGCATGTTTAATTTTTTTTAAAGAAAATGCCAAAACATTTTCCAGAGTAGTTGGAAATAAATGAGTTTCTTTACATCCTCGCCAGAATTTGGTGGTGTCAATACTTTTTAGTTAGTCATTCTGATGAGTATGTAGTGATATTAATCTTTTATTTTAAAAAGAGGCAAACTAGTGCTCACTTTGGCAGCACATATACTAAAATTGGGACAATACAGAGAAGATTAGTATGGCTCCTGAGCAAGGATGACTTGCAAATTCGGAAGTGTTCCATATTTTTTTTAAAAAGAGGCAAACTAGAGGGGAAAACTATTAATATTCCTTAGAGATAAGATCTCTTGCTATTTCAATTTAAACTCCTCCTGACTGGTTTTGCCTAGAAATCGCAGGGCTCTGGTAGAAGCTAGAAGAAAAGATGCTCTTTCCTGATTATGTTACTTACTTAGGGCATTGTGAGTCTGGGGCTAAAATAGCATCATCAGAATTTTGCCTATCTTGTCTATGTTGTCTTCATATGGTGGATGAGATGGCCTAAGGCAGTCCCAAATATATTTTGTAGACTTCTTAATTGAGCCAATAAAGTAGCACCCAAAATTTGTGTATGTGGTGTATATATTTAATTAAGCTGTCTGTGTTGAGTTTTCATCATTTGTAACAGAGTCTCATCTCCTCTGTGACAACTCCAGCTTATTAGTCTTTTTTTTTAATTCTCACAACACTTAATTATCTATAGCAACTCTGTTCAATAGAAAGACAATGTGAGCCTTATATACATAATTTTAATTTTTCTAGTGGTCACATTTAAAACAGATAAAATAAATTTGTAACTATTTTATTTAACCCAATATACTAAAATATTATAATTTAACATATAGTCAATATAAACATTCTTAATGAGATATTTTACATACTTTTCTTTGTCCTAAGGTTTTGAAATTTTATATGTATTTTACATTTATAGCATACCTCAATTCTGACTTGTCATATTTCAGTTGCTTGATAGCCACAAGTGGCTAGTATTGAACAACACAGATTTATACTATACATATTAGCACCTAACCATACATCATGTATTGCTTGAATGTTTCATATGTAAATGTCTAATCTTTCCGCCTAACATCTATACCCCTTGAGAACAGAAAGCTCAGCTTAAAATTCTTCTTTAGCTCTCAAGTTCTAGTATAGTGTAACTCTAATAGTAGGTAATAATATGAATAAGTAATTTCAGTTAATCATTCAATGAGCAGAGAGTTGTAATTCATGCCTTAGTAAAGAAATGGGACTGAGAAACATATTGCAAGTCCACTGGAGATAGTCAGTTATCTGCATATGACTGTAGTAAATGTTTGTCTGATAGCAAACTATCAGGCCCCAGGCAGAAGAGATAAGGACCAAAGCAATAAGAATGTTTTATGATTTTTAAATGAAAGTGCTAAACACAAAGTGTAAAATGGGTGTCCTTTCCCAGTACCATTCCATCTTACAAAAGGGCAAGATGAGTGATGTCTATACCTGGTAACATGAAACCAGCAAATTATTAGCATCTGAGCACAGAGAGAGTCCATTTATTTTGCCCTTATATAGCCACTTTTTTTCCCAAGGCAGATGGACAGAGAGTGGGTGGTGGAAAGGGGAGCAAGTATGTACAACATGTTATTGTGGAATGCTATGCAGCAGTTGCAAGAATGAAGTGTAGCCCAGCTGGTGTGGCTCAGTGGTTGAGTGTCAACCCAGGAACCAACAGGTCACCAGTTTGATTCTGGTCAGGACACATGCCCGGGTTGTGTGCAGGAGTCAGCCAATCGATGATTCTCTCACATTGATGTTTCTATATCTCTATCCCTTCCTCTTCCTCTCTCTCTAAAATTTAATAAAAACATATTTTTAAAAAAGGAAAGAATGAAGTGTATTCATGGAAACATCTCTAGACATACTGCTTAAGGCATTGGTTCTTAAAGTGTGGTCACTGGACCAGCAGTTTCAGCTTAATTGAGGGCTTTATAGAAATGCAAATATTTGGGATTCACCCCAGAAACTCTGGAAGTGGGAGTCAGAAATCTGTGTTTTAACAAGGCCCCCCACACAGTGTTACTTTTTTAAAAACTATATTTTTATTATTGATTTTAGAGACGAAGGGAGATAGAAACATCAATGATGAGAGAGAATCATTGATCAGCTGCCTCCTGCACAGCCCCTACTGGGGACTGAGCCTGCAACTCGGGCATGTGCTCTGACTGGGAATCAAATCATGACCCCCTGGTTCTTACATCGATGCTCAACCACTGAGCGACACCAGCCGGGCCCCCAGGTGTTTCTGATGCACACTAACATTTGAGAAACACTGATTTAGAAGGGAAAAATGTTGCAGAATGACATATACAGCATGATACTATTTATAACTGTAAAAATGACATGTTTTCAATGTGTGTGTGTGTGTGTGTATATATATATATATATATGATTGCATGTGCATATAAGAAATCTGAAAGGAGATACATCAAGTTTATAACAGGTACTAGAGGCCTGGTACATGAAATTCGTGCATGAGGGTGTGGGGAGAGAGGGTGTGTGTCCCTCAGCCCAGCCTGCACCCTCTCCAATCTGGGACCCCTTGAGGGGTGTCCAACTGCCTGTTCAGGCCTGATCCCACCGAAATGGGCAGTCAGACATCCCTCTCACAGGACAGCTGGCTCCCAACTGCTCGCCTGCCTGCCTGCCTGATTGCCCCTAACCACACACCTGCCAGCCTGATCAATGCTTAACTGCTCCCCTGCTGGCCCGATTGCCCCCAACTACAATCCCCTGCAGGACTGGTTCTCCCCCAACTGCCCTCCCCTGCCGGCCCAGTCACTCCCAACTGCCCTCCCCTGCAGGCCTGGTCTCCCCCAACTGCCCTCCCCTGCAGGCCTGGTTCCCCCCAACTGTCCTCCCCTGCAGGCCTGGTCTCCCCCAACTGCCCTCCCCTGCAGGCCTGGTTCCCCCCAACTACCCTCTCCTGCAGGCCTGGTCCCCCCAACTGCCCTCCCCTGCAGGCCTGGTTCCCCTCAAGTGTCCTCCCCTGCAGGCCTGGTCCCCCCAACTGCCCTCCCTTTCAGGCCTGGTCCCTCCCAACTTCCCTCCCCTGCTGGCCTGTTCTCCCACACCTGCCCTCCCCTGCTGGCCTGTTCTCCCACAACTGCCCTCTCCTGCCGGCCATCTTGTGGTGGCCATCTTCTGTCCACATGGGGGCGGCCATCTTGTGTGTTGGAGTGATGGTCAATTTGCATATTACCTCTTCATTATATAGGATTACCTCTGGGCAAGAAGGTAGGTAAATGGGTCTTTATTTTTTTCCAGCATCATTTGAATTCTTTAAAATAAGAATGCATTCATGTATTAATTGAGTAATTAAAAATAAAGTAACATTTTCAGTTTTTTTAAAGTGATCTGAAAACACAAAAGAGAGAACCATTAAATCTTCTTAGAATATGTAGCCTTTGAACTAGGCTCCAGGGCTGGCCTAGTCTTTGCTGTCCATCCAGCCTTAACGCTCTCCCATGCTCAGGACATAACTGAAATTTTTACATTTTTGTCCTTTCAGATGAAGGAGGCATCCCTGGAGAAGCTACAATCTGGTTTCTGAAATAGTAGGGTGGACCACCCATTATCCCCCAATACTTCAAGCCTCAGAGAAAGTACTAACTAAAATTCCAAGTTAATATTAAACTGGAAAGAAAATGTGGCTGCCTTTCCAATACTATAAAATTGCCCTCCAGCCCATGTTTTAATAGAGATGTTGCTCTCAGCAGCATAGTAGTGTGGATGAAAAACATAAAGCAAAGATCATTATTGATTCACCCTAGGCCAGGCTCATTCAAATTCAAGATGGAAAAGCCCTAGAGAGCCATCCATGTCCTTGTTTTTTCCAGTGTCCAATGACAAACCGTTGGAGGGTGGGGGGAATCCATGCCCTTCAGAAGGCCAAGCCCTGCATTCCATTAACCTACTCTCTTTCAGTGTGCTTTGGGTCTTTTTAGCTGATGAGACTGGTGGAAGGTGACAGAGGAAAAATAACAATAGTAAGATTCACCCAGAGCCCCTAGTATGAACATGGCCTTTTCAAGTTATAAAGATAAATAACTATCTACGTAGCATTCTGGGGAGTTTGTTTCCAGTAAAATGAATCTGAGGAGGAAAAAAGTCACTTTAACCTTTGACACAGCTTTCCAGGAAAAAGCTTTCATAACTAAGGGTCAATAATATGATGGCAGGAAGAAGCTCTGTAGAATGGGCCAGGTTGCCCTATATAATCAAGAGGGGTAAGGAACCCAAGAGGCTGGAAAGGAGTCCCTATAATTAATGATCACTTTCTGACAGCCTGGATATTAGAGGGATGAGCTGATGCATCCCAGAGGTAACTGACTGGATATACTGGGGAGAATAGGCAAGTGCAAAGTTTCTGTTGCTTCTTAAAAGGTCTGAGATGAAGAATGAACACAATGTGCCAGACAGTTAACTTTGAAACCAGGATTATTTGGGCTAAAAGAGTTTCTAGGGCTTTTGATATAGCAGGCAGTACCTCTGGATTAATAGAGAGAAGTAGGACTTGAAGATAGAATGGTTCTCCTTAAAAGAGTATTTCTTAGGTTACAGTAAAGAATTGTACTCCATTTTAAGTAGTATAAAGGACCTTTGCCCTCTGTTGAAGCATATTAAGCTTGTAGATGAGCTCAAATAACTAGTCCTCACTCAAATGATTTGCCTTGACATGAAGATACTGAAAGAATTTCATCTATTTTTTGATATAGATTTTTATAATGCTATAAATATTTTTAAAAATTTTATTAGATACTTACTATGTGCTTATAAATACATACTTACTATGTGCCTATAAATACATGTTAAAATACAGTTTCAAGGAGATTATAGAAAATAAGGGAGGGGCAATAGAGGAACACTGCAATGTTACAAAAGCAATTTATGATTTAATGCCAAAATAGTGATACAGACAAAAGTTAGTTTAAATAGTGATACAGACAAAAGTTAGTTTAAATATGGAGAAATCTTTGTGAATCGGACTAGTCAAGAAATTTTTAAAGGATCTTTTGCTTTTGCTTATTTTGTATTGTTTTTGCGTGTGTGTGTGTGTGTGTGTGTGTGTGTGTGTGTGTGTGTGTGCGTGTGTGTTTGAGAAGCTTTTTTTTTTAGGGAGAAATCAACCTTTAATTATGAATTTGACTACTCTGTGGGACTAAGTTATAAGTGGTGGTCACTGGATTAATCTAGAACAAAATTATAAAG